ACCATCACCACCATCACCACCAACCACCATCACATCACAACAACCACCCATGGGCATTCTTACAAACAAGACTGATTAATCCCTGTCAGCTCGCACGCCCGCACGCCCACACGCCCAATTCTAGCCCACGTGAACGTGATGGATTCGCCAGTCGCCTCTAAAGGTTACAAGCTCCAAGAGAAACCTCTGTTATCACAGTTGTTTCCAATCGTCTCTGATAGTTGCATACCAACCTCGCCCACGCCCGCCTGCCCGCCCGCCTGCCGCCCACTAGGTGGCTGTTGCCTCCTTATGGCTGACTGGATGTAGAGGTGAGTGACTGGGTGACTGGATGTGTGGCTCTTTGGATATTTGGGTAACTTAATATGCAGATGACTGAATGTGTGAATGTGAGATGACTGGCTAACTAAACGTGTGGGCAATTGGTTGAGTGACTGGATGCAGGGATGTGTGGATGACTGACTGGTCTCAGCTGTCTTTGTTGTCTTCCTTCAGCTGGATGTATGGATGACAAAGTAAGTGCAAGATTGGATGACTGGAAGTGTTCATGTGAGACTGTGTGGCCGGGTCAATGTGTATGTCGTGGTCTTCTTTGTGTGATAACGTGTATCAGAGTGAGTTCCCTCCTCCAACACACTGGAATCCCACCACACACAAACTATAACCCACTCCCTCCCCTCCTCCCTCCCACGACCACAAACAAAACGGCCCAGTCTCACACCAACGACACAAACACATACCACAGTGGACCTTCCCCCCCCCCTCCCCCACCACCACCACCACCACAAAACAGCCCAGGACACACCAGCGTCACACCGCCCGACACCTGGCCGTCTTAAAAAGGGTTAGAAAAGGAAAGAGACTCCGTGTAGGTCTAGGGAAGAGGAGGAAAGAATTAATACCATACTTGACGGCGTCCCTCATCAACCATCCTGTCCACGTAGTTCTCACGTGTATTGTGTGAGTGTTTCCCCGTATGCAGATCAGCCGCCGCCTTGCATGGGCCGCGCTGGTATAAACACATCTATGGGCTTGGTCACATGGACCCTATCCTAGGCCTTCCCTTTATGCAGATCACCCGCTGCCGCCACCTTGCATGGGCAGTCCCGGAATATACAGATACACTGCCCTATTCACCTGGGTCTTGTCCTAGGCCCTCCCAACTAGGGGGCAGATAAACCATCGCCTTGCGTGGACAGTCCTGGCATAAACAGATCCTTGGTATTCGTCACCTGGGTTCTGTCCCGGGTCTGGCGAGCGAGCTACAGGGAAGATACCATAGGCTTTTTTTTCTGCTTACGGACTCCAAGTGAACGTAGGCGGCCATGGGACCGTCTAGACCTGACTACTACAGCCCTCAAGGTCCCTACTGGTGTCCTAAATTAACATCTGGCCAAGCGGGGGAAGGGAGAGAGCGACACCTATCTACTGTCACCCACAGGTCCCTACCGAGGTCCTATAACAGTGTGCAACTGACAACATTGGATAGGAGTGTGAAATTCTCTGGTGAAAAAAGGTATTTATTCCTCCTTAACTTAACTTAACTTACCTTTCTAGATCAACACATCCAACTACTTGATCATGTTTTACCGAACCAGAGAATAGGAAAAGGAGAAAAGGTTAGAGGAGAAAAGGAATAGAAAGAGAAGGACAACGAGGGGAAAAAAAGATGAAAAGAGAAAATGAAGAAGAGAAGAAAATTTAAAAAAGAAGAAAAATCGAAAGAAAAATGAGAAAAAAAGAAAACACAAAAAGGAAGAATAAAGAACGGGCAAAAAGGAGAAGAAAAAGAGTAAAAGTACGAAAAATAACAATAATGGGGAATAATAAGAATAGAAGAAAAAAGACACTAATTACGAAGACAATCAAATAACGAAAGGAGACAAAAAGAGGAAGAGGGAGAGAGAGAAAGAGGGGAAGAAGGAAAGAAAAAAAGAGGGAAAGAGAGGAAGAGGGAAGAGAAGAAGGAGCATGACAAAACAGTGGATGACAGGAGAAAAGTACAAAAAAAAGGAAAGAATGAATAAGAGAAAATGAAGACTAAAGGAAAAAGAAAGAGAAACAATATTAAAGGGAGGAGAAAGCCAATGATAAGAGAGGATAAAAAAAAGTAGCCAATAGAAGGAAGAAAGGAAAGAGAGAAGAGGAAAAACGAAAGATAGGAAGAGAAAAGGAAAAGAAGAGAAGAAGGACGAACGAGAAGAGAAAAAATAGAAAGAGAAGAACAGAGAAAAACAAGAGGAAGATGAAAAAGAAGAGGAGAGGCAAAGAAGAGGAGAGGGCAGAAGGCCAGCAAGATAGGTGTATTATTAGGCTTGTATTTAGACACTTGGCCACGTCATCTCACCATAATGGCAATACCCCACCACCATTACCACCACCACCACCATTACCATAATTTTCGTCATCGCCAGCTGGAGAGAGAGAGACAGACCGAGAAAGAACATTATCATCACCATTGTGGCGGCACCTACCTATAGCTTTATTGGGAATTGATCCAGGCACATCTTTCTTTCGGCTCAGCGGCAGTGTGGAATTTCACGTGGAAAAGGACAAAGCCTCAGACAGTATCCAGTCAATAGCCGTCAATAGCCACGCTAACCCCACAAGTGAATAATGCCAATAATGCCTACCACAACAAGTGACCTCCAGTGAAAGTCTTATATATATATATACAGTATATATATTCTCCACTATCAGACCGCAGGTAACAACAACACTTTATTAGTTAGATCAAATTTACCATCTGGCAATATGTTCTGTCCAGATTCTATTCAAGGACCACCTCAATAAATCCACTGAAACTAATTTCTCTCTACAATATCAAGTTTCCAACCAGTGGCAGCTGCAAGGAGAGGCAGTTATTGACACAAAGGAAGAACATTATGTTATATTACTTCTACCTGTATAATAATAATAATAATAATAATAATAATAATAATAATAATAATAATAATCATATTCATATTCATATTCATATTAATATTAATAATAATAATAATAATAATAATAATAATAATAATAATAATAATAATAATAATATTCATATTCATATTAATATTAATAATAATAATAATAATAATGATATAATAATAATAATAATAATAATAATTATAATACTGATAATAATAACAATAACAATAACAATAACAATAATAATAATAATAATAATAATAATAATAATAGTAATAATAATAATAATAATAATAATAATAATAATAATACTGATAACAATAACAATAACAATAACAATAACAATAATAATAATAATAATAATAATAATAATAATAATAATAATAATAATAATAATAATAATAATAATAACCAGCCAACACACACACAGTATCTCACAAGTCATCACCAACATGATACAGTAATTGTGGCGCCCCTGTGAGCCGTGACTCTCGTAAGGATCCTACAGTATACAGGGTGGTGATCCTTCCACAGTCCCTCGCCCGCCAACCACCCGATTCCCATGGTGACGTAACACAGTAATAACCCTGTAAATTGATATAAAAAAGTTGATCGTAAGCTTCCTCCTGTCGGCATGGTAACACACAGAAAACAAAATGCTCAAATACTGACCATAGAATCCGTCTGTCTAAGCTCCCGGGTCTTGTGGAGTCGTCGACACAACAAGTTTCACCGAAATCGATATCTACTTAACTCACCGTGTTCACAAGACATAAAGACCGACCGACAGACAGACAGATACGGTTTCCATGTCCTCTATAGCTCCCCTCCTACTCCACGGGGAACAATTAGAAGTTTTATTTAACTTATGACAAGAGATATACGGTAAAATCTATTTATGTCTGAGACGCCGTTTCCCACTATGCAGAGTGGTGAACCAAGCTGAGACTGTCCCTAACTCCTGAATCGCTGCCAAAACACATATATAACTCAAGCTGATTATTTGCCTGCAAGTGCTTGTGTGTTCACCGCCCGCCTCTACCGGTAAACAAACTAACAAACGGCACTTAATCCCGTGTTTTCTCTGAACTAGATCAACCACCACTAGACCGTACAGATCCACCATCCATCACAGCTGAGCAAACCATGGCATCTGGGAGGGAGGAGGGTAAGAGTGGGGGAGGGGGTGGGGGTTCACGAAATCAAAGATGTAACCTGACTTAACATTTGTAATGCTTAAGTCATTCACTATCTCTACTCCTCCTTCCCTTACCCCAACCCTCCCTCTTCCTTTCTTCTCTCCCATCCTCTGTCTTCCCCTTCCTTTCCCCTACTCTCCCCTTCTTCCCCCCCTCTTCCCTCACCCCTTCCTTAACCCTGCCTCTCCTTCTATTCCACGTTGTCCCTTAACTAGTAGTAATAGGACCTGACCCCTTAATTATTTTGTCTTATATTGAGGTAAATTCTCACGTGTGTCACCGTAAAGGAAGAGAGAGATTAATTACCATACTACCAACACCTGTAAGATGATCCTGTGAGAGAAATGGGAGTAGGGGAAGGGGTAAGGGGAGAGGAAGGGTAAGGGAGAGGAAGGGTAAGGAGAGGAAGGGGTAAGGGAGAGGAAGGGGTAAGGGAGAGGAAGGGGTAAGGAGAGGAAGGGTTAAGGGAGAGGAAGGGAGGAGAGGGAAGGGAAGGGAGAGGAAGGGGTAAGGGGAGAGGAAGGGGTAAGGGAGAGGAAGGGGTAAGGGAGAGGAAGGGTGGTGGAGAGGAAGGGGTAAGGGGAGAGAAGGGTAAGGGGAGAGGAAGGGTTAAGGGAGAGGAAGGGGGTAAGGAGAGGAAGGGTTAAGGGGAGAGGAAGGGTAAGGGGAGGAAGGGTAAGGGAGAGGAAGGGGTAAGGGAGAGGAAGGGGTAAGGGAGAGGAAGGGTTAAGGGAGAGGAAGGGGTGGGGAGAGGAAGGGGTAAGGGAGAGGAAGGGGTAAGGGGAGAGGAAGGGGTAAGGGAGAGGAAGGTAAGGAGAGGAAGGGACAGAGGCGGAAGGAAGAGAGGAAATAAAGACGGAAGAGGGACAGGAAAGATGGGACAGAAAGATGGGGACGGGACAGAAAGACGGAGGATGGGACAGAAAGACGGAGGATGGGACAGAAAGACGGAGGACGGGACAGAAAGACGGAGACGGGACAGAAAGACGAGGACGGGACAGAAAGACGGAGGACGGGACAGAGACGGAGGATGGACAGAAAGACGGGAGGATGGGACAGAAAGACGGAGGATGGGACAGAAAGACGGAGGATGGGACAGAAAGACGGAGGATGGGACAGAAAGACGGAGGACGGGAACAGAAAGACGGAGGACGGGACAGAAAGACGGAGGATGGGACAGAAAGACGGAGGACGGGACAGAAAGACGGAGGATGGGACAGAAAACGGAGGATGGGACAGAAAGACGGAGGATGGGACAGAAAGACGGAGGACGGGACAGAAAGACGGAGGACGGGACAGAAAGACGGAGGATGGGACAGAAAGACGGAGGACGGGACAGAAAGACGGAGGACGGGACAGAAAGACGGAGGATGGGACAGAAAACGGAGGATGGGACAGAAAGACGGAGGGACGGACAGAAAGACGGAGGATGGGACAGAAAGACGGAGGACGGGACAGAAAGACGGAGGACGGGACAGAAAGACGGAGGACGGGACAGAAAGACGGAGGACGGGACAGAAAGACGGAGGACGGGACAGAAAGACGGAGGATGGGACAGAAAGACGGAGGATGGACAGAAAGACGGAGGACGGAAGAAAGAGGACGGACAGAAAGACGGAGACGGGACAGAAAGACGGAGGACGGGACAGAAAGACGGAGGACGGGACAGAAAGACGGAGGACGGGACAGAAAGACGGAGGATGGGACAGAAAGACGGAGGATGGGACAGAAAGACGGAGGACGGGACAGAAAGACGGAGGACGGGACAGAAAGACGGAGGATGGGACAGAAAGACGGAGGATGGGACAGAAAGACGGAGGACGGGACAGAAGACGGAGGATGGGACAGAAAGACGGAGGACGGGACAGAAAGACGGAGGATGGGACAGAAAGACGGAGGATGGGACAGGAGATACAAGGGTCACATATTTAGGGTCGTGTCCGTGTGGTGGTGGGGAGGGAGAGAGGTTGGCCAGAGGTTAACGAGACTGTGACCAGGTGTGTTAGTCACCCCGGGGGAGTATATGATATTCTTCCCTCCTTCCACTCCTCTCTCCTCCTGCCCACTGTCCTCCCCCTGTTGTTCTTCCTCCCTTCTCCCTCCTCCTCTCTCTCCTCCCAATCCCTTCCTCCCGCCTTCCACCTCACTCCCAATCCCTTTTTCCCGCTTCCTCCTGGATTTCCTCCTCTTCCACCTCCTTCCTTCTCTCCTCTCCCACAGCCTCGTCTGCGCGTCACCACAGAAAATGGGAAAGGGGTAAAGATTCCCACACTATTTGTCTCCCGCTGACAGGTGCTCCACTCCCTCACCCACCGACCACGACTGATGAGAGGTGAGGAGGGGAGGGGAGAGAGAGGAGGGAGGGGAGAGAGGAGGGAGGAGGAGAGAGAGAGAGAAGAGAAGTGGAGAGAGGGAAGAATGCAGGGATTGGAGGTGAAGGAGGGAGGAGAGGAGAGAAAGAAGAGGGGGGTGCAGGGAGGGAAGTGAGGAGTGGGAAGAGAGAGGGGGGACGGAGGAGAGAGAAAAGGTGAGGAAGAGAGAAGAATGGGGGGAGTGGAGGTGAAGGAGAAGGAGAAGAGGGGAGGGAGAAGGGACGGAGGAGAGAGAGAGAGAGAGAGAGAGAGGAGGGGGGAAAGAGAGGGAATAGAAAAGAAAAGGAAAGGGGAAGGAGGAGGAGGAGGAGGAGGAGGAGGAGGAGGAGGAGGAGGAGGAGGAGGAGGCGGAAAAGGAGAGGAGGAGGAGAAGGAGGTTTAGGAGAAGGAAGGTAATAATAATAATAATAATAATAATAATAATAATAATAATAAAATATAATAATAATAATAATAATAATAATAATATAATAATAACAATAATAATAATAATAATAATAATAATAATAATAATAATAATAATAATAATAATAATGGTGATGCCGATGATGATGATAATAAATTAATGATGACAGCTCGTAAATAATAATGCAAACATGATTCTCGGTATTTATTTAATTATGTACACAATGACAGTACATATTAGTCAATACCGTACTCAAGATACCGTACTCAAGCCATATACTGTACGCATAATTCAGTAGCGAGATATAATGATGGTAGTAACTACTTGGGTGGACGAACATACGGTACACCCAAGAAAATTATTACATTATTAATATACTCTTTTTAATCTCTTCCCACATCTACACTGCATATTATCTATTTTAACTTCTGCTATGGATTACGATAATGTTAATGATAAGGTTAAAAATATTACTTTTCTTTTGTGTCTTAAGAAAAGTAGTTTGTCTGATTAATCTAATTCGGGTGATTCAGATAATAACATTAAACCTGACGTAACATAACACCGCTCATTATAATCATGTGACAATGTGGTTAAAGACTCGTTGTTGTCTTTATATGCATGTTATATGTACCTAAGAACTTGTTAAGCTGTAATCATTTCCATAACCCTGTCTGTATAACTCAAATGTAATTAATTGAAGGTAACATTAATATTTCAGTTTTACGACACCTCATCTACGTATGTTTACATAGAATAAAATTACATAATGCTGTTATTTCATTTCACGGTGTTATAGTTACATGCAACAATAAAAGATATATAATAATTATAATCAGTCATATATTACAGCAGGATGATCTAGTAAGTTTATAAATAGATCATATAAAATAAAATCAAGTAAAAGTGGAATTAATATAATATCGTCTAGAAGGTTCCACCAGTTACATTAATTAAGTTATAGTCTCCACATCCCCATCACTTCCAGCCTCCCAGGTGTGGGAGCACAACTATGATGCATCGTGAGTCACGCAGGAGTAGTAGCTGGTGGTGGTGGTAGGGAGTCTTGAACAAACATACAACAAAAGTCAATAATTTTACTATCCTCATAAAACTAATTAAAGGAGTTTGGGTAGTTATAAAAAAAAAAAAAAACCTGTGTGTCCACCCAAGTCTCAAACGACCCAATTTGTTTTTTTAAAATGTATATGACACAACTCGTAAAATATGAACAGACTTATGAGGTTAATGTTCCCCCGACACAGGATTATACATCACCACAATTACTGACGCTCAGGTGTAACAAAAGTCATCACAACGAACAAAAGAGGAGAACCCACACAACTTACCTGCGTTTTGTGTAATTTAAATTCATTGGTAGTGAGAGCACCATAGGCACATGAGGTACAGCAAAGGTTTGGTACAGATACAGTGATTCTCAGGTGAAAATGGTTCATAAACAGTACAAACGATCAATAACCATCTACTGTAAATATTTCCAACATTGACCATAGATACACCTTGAGTGACATAATGTGGTGGTGTGGCTGTAACATAATGTGGTGGTGTGGCTGTAATATAATGTGGTGGTGTGGCTGTAACATAATGTGGTGGTGTGGCTGTAACATAATGTGGTGGTGTGGCTGTAACATAATGTGGTGGTGTGCCTGTAACATAATGTGGTGGTGTGCCTGTAACATAATGTGGTGGTGTGGCTGTAATATGAGTGAGCTAAACAAGTACAGACTTAGGAACAGAATACAAGTCCAGTGAGCCACATATGTTGGGTGTGACCATGGGAGAAGTGACCAGTGAGCCACATATGTTGGGTGTGACCATGGGAGGAGTTATTAATGAACCACATATGTTGGGTGTGACCATGGGAGGAGTTATTAATGAGCCACATATGTTGGGTGTGACCATGGGAGAGCTATGAGCCAGATGACAAAGAATGGCCCAGAATTACTCATGAGCACCGACTGGTTAAGAAAATGTTCTCTCAGTAAACAAGCTAGTCAGTCAACTAGGGCAGGTATTCATAAAGCTCTCTTGACGCAGCTGAAGGCATCCTCCCACGGTGGTATTACAGAAAGCTAATCTGGCCATCTGTTCCACCAAACTCTCTCTAGGAATTTAAAGATCGTAATAAAACAAATTATTACCAGATCATTCAAGTGACTTCTCTAATACAGTCACCGTCTTGGTTTAGGATAATACACATTACTTCACGACCAAGTACGGAATGTATACATGAATGACAAACCAGTACATTAAATTCATAACTGTTACCTGTAATTCTGTTATTAATAAATCACTGAAGAAATAACCCAGGTAATATTGATAACCAATTTCATTACAGTGAAACAAGATCAATGTACGTGAGTTCCTACACTCCCGGGTCTGACCACTTTAATGTAGTGAACTTACATCCTGTGGCCTTTTACTGTCGTCACTGATCATATGCCATTATCAGGGTATACACCTTATAGATCTAAATTACATTTCTTCACTGCCATGTCTAAATATTTCGAAATTTAATTAACTTCCAGGTAACAAAACAGTTCTTGAAGAGAGAGAATAAAAGTAATAAACAAGAGATTGTACCGGTGGGAAAGACAGCCAGCCTCCAGCCAGGGTTACGACACGTCATTACGAGTGTGAACATCAACATTGAGAACCTGCCCGAGGCATTTCCTTCATCTCACACCACCTTAGCTTACTGACCTCGTTACTGCTGAGTCATCATGACTGGCTATTATCAACCACGACATTTAAGGCAGCATAACTTTCTGAACTTATTACTCACACGTTTCCGTTATGCATTGATATTATAGCCACTGTGTGTTTATAAGACAACAAATGTAATATTATTGACTTATGTGAAAATTTTGTCTTTATAACTATTTTTTTCTTTGTGTTCTTATATACAGTAAATATGACTTATCTGATATACTTCTTAACAAAGCCAACATGACTGGTATATACATTACAATTTAACTTGTTACCCCGTGTGTGTGTGTGTGTGTGTGTTAACCATCATATATGGAACTAAGCGCCAGGCATATGAAAGGGATAATGTTAAACTTACACTGTTTATAAAAATGTAGAATTTCACCAATAATAAAAGAACTTGAACGTGTATATATCAGTCATCCGAGCTCTTGGGGCTAACTGAACTTTCTGCCACGTTTCAAAAAGATCAATCCAGGTGTTATGGAGTGTTAGCGTTCACATCTCCATTACAAAGAACTTCGTGTGAATCCAAAAAAAACTCGTAGGGTGATTGAGTCAAGAATAAGGACATTGCTTCCATTACGTTCAACAGATTCAGCAACAAAAACTTCATAAATAAAGGAATATTCAAATGAAAAAATATATACAGTATGTACAAATAAAGTCTTAAACTGAGAGAGAGAGAGAGAGAGAGAGAATTAACCACGTGTCATCCATCTCACAATACGGTACAGTAAGTTAGCGACAATCTATATCCCCGCTTGTTAGTCTCTCATCATAGACGACGCTTACAGAAAATCCATATCTTACACAAACACAAATGAAAACACCCGACTCTCTCTCTCTCTCTCGAATATACAAACACCTATGCACATACAAAGACAGACCACACACACACACACACACACACACACACACACACACACACACACACACACACACACACACACACACACACACACAGGCCCGCCGCAGGTGTGAATATAACATGATTCTCGTATCGCTCAAGGTGAGAAAATTACTCACCTGACAGCTGCACTCAAGTTAACACAGCATATGACACACACACAAAAAATCTACACCTTGTCTTCAGCTGACTGGGGTTGAGGTGGGTTGAGGCGTCCCAAGGCCCTGAGGTTCAAATCAACTGTAAAATCATTATTGTCGTATATATTTAACCTATGAAGATTGCAATACTATCTGGTGCATATATCGGAGTTATATAGTGTGTGTGTACCTTGGAAACACTCATATGTAGGTATAAAAATCATCTATAACACCGACCACACACACACACACACACACACACACACACACACACACACACGGCAAACGTTCATAGTTTTTGTATTATTCTGTACCAAGTTAAAGTATTCATCAAGTCTGTAACTAAACCCCTAAAAAAAAAATATTACGATACA